GAACCAGGTGGAGTGTTTTCCCTGACCGGTTTCCCCCCCACTTCCTGCAGGTTGTTCCCACTTGTCTCAGGGCCCTGCTGGACATGGCACGGTCAGGGGGCGCCTCCTCACTGGAGACCACCGTGGACCTGCACATCTCCAACAGCTACCCACTCTCCCTCACCTCGGACCAGTACAAGGCCTACCTCCAGGACCTGGCCGAAGACATGGATTTCTAGGTCACTGGGGAGATCTGACCCCTCACTCCTCATGGATGATGGCCTCTTGTGCCCTCACCTTGGCCAATAAACTGTTTCTTACCACTGTCACCACTTGTGTGTCTGGTATTCAGGGTCTCTGGGCTAGCCCTGACGCAGGCCAGGCATTATTCCTTCTTAGGGCATCAGCTGACCCCTCTGTGCAACCCACAACCCAGATGCTCACTGCCCAAGGACCAGACACTGCGGGGGCAGCTGATACTGGTCACCTCCTTTCCCCTTCCCAGGGACCTGGTGAGGAGGTGTGACAGTCACCTCCGTTTTATAGACCAAGACACTGAGGCTTGGAGAAGAGCAAAAGTCAGACAGTAGGAAACACAGGACGGGTTAGAAACCAGGCCGGATTCCAGGGTTGCTGCTCTGCGAGGGAGGCCCCAGGGCAGAATCTAGAACCTCTGTCTCGTTTATAAACAGTTCAGGCCCCTGTCCAGTAAGCAGAGAGCCTTGTCCTGTTGGCTGGGGGCACCTTGGGTCCCCTCCCAGCTCCTGCCAGGTGACCTCTGGCCCTGGACTCCCTGCTGCGTGGGGCTGGAGCAGGCAGTCGTAAAGGAGCTCCGTGCCCCAGCCCTGAGGCCCGCCCACTCCGGTGACCCAGGCCTACTACCTCTCCTCACCACATCTGGGTTCTGGGTAATGTGGACTGACGAAGGCCAGCGTGGCCCGGACTCACTGTGTGGCCCTTGCCGCTCTGTGCCTCAGTTTCCCTCTACCTCAGGAGAATGGGTAATATCACCCCAGCCTCGAAGGACTGGTAAAAAGGGAATCCAACTAAATGGGGGACAAAAGTCCTGTTGCTGAGGCAATTCCAGGGCAGACAAATAGCACCCAGGTGCCCTTAGCCTGGAAGACACTGAGCAGGTGGGACCTGGGACCCCAACCTCCCACCTGCCACCATTTTCTGTCAACAGCAACCACTTGTTATGTAGCTGATGTGGCGGTTCTAAGTACGTCACTTGCCTGGGTCTTCGTCCTTGTAACACCCACTTCAAGGATCAGGAAACTGAGGCCCAGAGAGAGAAAAGCACTTCCCCCGAGTCACACCCTGCTAACCACCCTCAGACCTGGGACAGACCTGGGCAAGTCTCTTCCCAACCCTTTCCCAAACTGGTCTCTGAAAAGAAAGGGCTGGGGTGCCTGGGTGGCTCAGTCGGTTAAGCGGCCGACTTTGGCTCAGGTCACGACCAATCGGGTTCCGGAGTTCGAAGTCGGCAGGCCGGGCTCTGTGCTGACAGCTCCAGAGCCTGGAGCCTGTTTTCGATTTGTGCCCTTTTCTCTCACCTCCCATTCATGCTTCATCTCTCTGTCTCAAAAATAAATAAACGTTAAAAAAAATTAAAAAAAAAAAAGGCTGAAATCATGGGGCTCAGGGCTAACATTTCATGAAATCTTTAATGAAACTGGGGGAGGGGCACAAACAGAAGGGAGGGGAGATGGGGACAGGCTTGGGGGCAAGGGGCACAGGGCTGGGCAGGGCAGGGGGCTCTCCTCTTCCCTGCAGCAACCCTCCCCCAATCATCCCACTGACGGGGCGGGGGAGAGAAGTGGGGAGGTGGAGCCATAAATACGTCCAGAATTCCAAAGAGGTGAAGGAAGGAAGGGGTGGTCGAGGGTCTCAGAGAGGGGGCAAGGGCAGGCCTGGGCCACCCTTGTCAGGGGGTCCAGGCTCCTTGGGCGGCCGCGGGGGCCCTGGGGGGTCCCCCGGCTTGCGGCCATGCTTGCGGAAGTAGCGGTAGCGTTGGACGTAGGCCCGCACCAAGTTGCTCACCTTCACTGGGTTGATCTCCCCACTTTTGCTGTGGCAGATCTAGGGGGTGAGAGGCAGCTGTGGTCACCTCCAGCCCCCCAGGGTCCCCTCCACCTGGACTGCTGACTGCTGAGCACAGCTGCGAGCTGGGATGGGAGCCGCTCCCCCAGATTCCGGGCCAACACCCCTACGTGTCCCCCTGATGTCAGCGGGACAGGCCCAGGTGGGCTTGAGCAAATCCTGTCCCCTCCTCACCTTCCACACTGACCCACCATCCCCGGCTCCCCATGCATGCACATGTCTCCTTCTTCTTGTCCTCTCCCCACTTCTGTGGATCTGTCCCCCGCTGGGCCCCACCTTGTGGACAGCCTTCCTCAGGATGTCCTTGTACTCCTCCTTGGTGATGTCCTTCTTCTGATAGTACGGCTTGATGGCCAGCTTCACCTCCTCCACTGCCCTCTCCTGCGTGTGCAGCTTCTTCAGATACTGGCAGAGGGGGTGACGGGGAGGGAAGGAGGGACAGCAAAGGCCGGATGAGTTCCTGCGGAACCCCAGGCCTCCACTCACCTGCCTGCCAGCTCGGCCTCCTTGACACATCCAGCTACTCCTGGAGGTGGAGGTCCTGCTCAGGATCTGCCCTGTGTTACCCTTGCTGCGGTCACCCCAGACCACAGGCCAGGCCGGGCCTCTGAACATCACTTGAACATCACCTAGGCTGGACCTGGGGCTATCCCCGGTGGCCTTGACCAGGACACATATGTCCACTGCCCATAAAAAATTTACACGAAGTAAAATGGGGCGCTTGGGTGGCTCAGTTGGTTGAGTGTCCGACTTCGGCTCAGGTCACGATTTCACAGTTTGGTTCAAGCCCCACATCAAGCTCTATGCTGACAGTTCAGAGCCAGGAGTCTGCTTCAGATTCTGTGTCTCCCTCTCTCTCTGCCCCTCCCTCACTTGTGCTCCCTCCCTCTCTAAAATAAATAAATAAACTTTAAAAAAAAATTACATAAAGTAAGAAATAGGCGACCCCATCATCTGGCAATTGGCTGTTTGACCACAATGACCTTTTTGGACCTGACCGAAAGGAAAACCGGCCTGAGGCCTGTGAGTAGAAGCCAGATGTAGCTAAATGAAAACTGGTTTGTTCCCACTCGTGCATTTGAATCAAAGTTTAGTTCCTTGGGGTGCCTGGGTTCCTTCTTCAGTCGGTTAAGCATCTGGCTTCCACTCAGGTCACCATCTCACTGTTATTGAGTTTGAGCCCTGCATTGGCTCTGTCCTGACTGCTTTGGATTCTGTGTCTCCCTCTCTGTCTCCTCCTCTGCCGCTCACACTCTATCTCTCACTCTTTCAAAAATAAATAAACATTGAAAAAAAAATTCTAGTTCCATACAATTCAACGACTTCTGTTTTATCTGAGTTCCCACCTGTTGGCATCAGTCTGCTATTCTCCTTGGGCCTCTGCACTTCAGCATCTGCAAAACTGTCACCATCAACCCACCTCTCCCAAACCCAGCTCACCTTGTCTGTGTCCCCACGTCCCTCGGAGCTGCTGCTGCCCTCTCGCTTGTCAGATGCTGCAGCCAGCCCAGTGGGGGTGGGAGGGGTAGAGCCGCAGCCCCCCAGGGGGAGGCTGCCAGGGAGCAGGTAGCTGGAAGGGCCAGGGGGTAGACCCAGAGAGGTGGGCACAGGAGCTGGGGTCACCCCCAGACTGGAGGGTGGCTTTCGGTGGCTGAGGATCTGTCGGAAGAGGTTGGAGAGCGGATGAATAAAGGGAGGGGGAGGGAAAGAGGGAACATGTACCCCCATCCTTCCCACCCTGATTTCCAAATTGTCCCAGAGGCAAGAGGCCTCTCCTCCTGCCGACCCCTTCCTTGTCCCAAGGTCTGCTGAGAATTGTAGTTCCTCTCCTAATCAGAGTCAGGGGACAAGAAGAGGGACTGTGGGGACTCTTCCCCAGAGGGGCCCACCTGGTTGGTGGCCTGGATCAGCTCCTGGGCCTTTGCTCGGCTCGCCAGATTGGCTTCTTCCATCTTGAAGAGAAGTGCAGTCACTGCAAGAGGCAGAGAGTTGAGGACAAGGACATCAGGAGCTGACACAAGAGGTCACCTAGGCACCTGCTGCCGTCTTCCCCCCGGGCCCTGGAGAGACCATAGGTTTCGGGCTCAGAATTGGGAAAAGGGGACCTTGGCCAGTGAGAGAACGGCTC